GATTGGGAGGACGATGTTTGGTCTCGCCTCCCCTGGAGCCTTCCCTTAGTTGTTCCTGCTGTTCCTTCTTTGTGGGGCTCCGCCTCCCCTACACCCCACCTAACGCCAACCTTGATGTTGTCACCTGTGTTGTCAAGGTTGATGTTCTGAATCTTCTCGGCGCTCAGTCCCTCGGGATCTTCAGCCGCAGTCTAATGGTGATACTTCCATGCCAAGCATCTCCTATGGCCCTTCCCCTCTCTCTGCTTACACAGCATCCGGTCTTGGCACTGTTCCATCCCCCAGTGCATCAACTCTTCCCCAGGTTTGGTACCTGCCGTGCGTCTGTTGCATCTGTATCCTGACCCTGCTGGTCCAGCTGTAATCTAGTCATCACTGTCGGTTTCCGCATGATGACCCTGTGAACAGATCCTTGGGCCCTCTCTGGCCCTGTGCTCTAACTGTGACCCCTTTTTGGGGTGCCCAACAAGTCCCCTCACTGGGACTGCTCAAAAGCTCTGGTCCCTCCGGGCTGGTTGGGGACTCTGCTTCTGGTCCCCCAGGCTTGTCTTCTGCCGGGTCTTTTATCCTGGCTCCGGGCATCCGGCCAACCAATCAGCCCCACCATGCTTTTATAAAGTGTGCCCATGGGGACACAGGAGCCATTTTTGGCTTCTCCTGGCTCAGCTTTTTCTTTTGATCTTTTCCTAGAGCTGCCGCGGTTTCGCTTTTACCGCAATCAGCTTCCAGGGCAGTGTCCTACCACCTCCCTGGCTCTCCTGGTAAGTCTTTCACACACCTTCATGCCCTAGCCAGCTGAGGTGCAGTGTTTACACTTGCGCTGCTGTGTTGTGAAAAACTCTGCAAATACTTGTAAATAATATTGATTATTGTTTATTAATATAAGTACTATCTTGCTGCAGAGTAAATTAGTTTACTCCAGACTAATAAGGACACGTGTAGATGCACAACATTCACTGCACAGCTAATTAGTCTAATTAGTGCAGTAAATGTCTTATATAGACATGCCCACTGGTACCAACATTCATCCCCCTGTATAGAATGACACAAAATCTATTGATCGTTTTAAAATAAGCCTTTATTAATTATCATTTGATTAATCACAGCTTGCTAACCTTTAAGGCCCTAACTCCTTAAAATTAGGGATATGTGTAAGTATCTTATTAAAGCGGAGCCTAACGTTGTAAGTTAATTTATCTAAATATAATCATTACTATAAACTGACTTGTTTAATTGCTTTCTCTTATATTTTATATCTACTTTCTTCAGACAGATAGATATATATTTAGAAGTATGAGGTGCCCCCTGTAGTTTAAACAATCTAGAATTCAACACATTTATAAAAAGCCTAGTATGAATAATTTGTAAACTAAAATGATAGGACCAGTGAGTGTGTATTGCAGTATATGTCCAAATGTCCTCATTATTCCATAATTGTTTAAGTTCAGTTAAGTGTTGGGTGGTAAAATAAAAAGCAAAATTGCAACAGTTTTTTTCTTCCTTTTTTAAAACTTGAAACAGTTGAATCCCCAAGTTAAACAAAATACTCAAATACTCTTCTCTGATTTTATAGAAGATTTTATATTCTACTTCCAACAACATAGAATCTTATAGTAGAAAAGCCAGGTATAAATGACACTTTAACTTATGTTTCTTTTCTTAAGAAAGTTCAATATCTACTATATTTTGGCACACTCTATATTAATGTGGGTTTTATTTTTTGTAGTACAGGTAGGTGGCCTTTAGTGTAGTTGAAATGCAGAACTATGGAAAAGGAAGACTGCAACTTTAAACAAGTGGGAAATATGACTCATACATTAAAGGATTAATAGAGTTCTGATTCAATGCTTGTTCAATCCACTAAACTTGAATCCTTTTCAGTATTGGCAATTCAGTTGTTACGTAATAAAAGAAAGACATTTTTAACAATAAGATAGAGAAAGGTTTGAATTGTAATTGAAATGATCTTATAAAGTTAATTATCAAGATGATCTCATTTATACAAATGTAAAATTAAAATATATCACTCACAAAGTTCTATCAGGTGTCAGCTGACCCACGTACTTATAAATGTGTTAATTTACATGAAAGAGACAGCACTATGAGGAAACTGGGCTGCAGCCCGGTTTTAGTTATTTTTCATTAGCACTTGGACTCTGATAAAGAGGAACAGAAAAGAGCTGCTTGACCTTTCAGTGCTTAAATTATTAAAGAGCAAATAGATTTGAGGTCTGGATGCTTGCAAATCTAATTTGTCTTATGGAGCAAGGATGAAAAGACATTTTGAGATTGAAATTCCTCCAGTCAACTTAGTTCTTTCTTTAATGTATCTAAAGATGAATAGATGGAAGGCATGTAAAATGGAATATACATGGAGTAGTGCACATAGCTTAAGTAATACAAACTTGCCAGAGAAGAGTTACATTTTATGATTATTTTGCTGTAAAACATATACCATTTTCTTCTGTAACTGCTATGTGGAAAATGAAAAGAATATTCACTGTAATCGCCATTCAAACAGGTAATGAAACTTACCTTAGCCCAGTACCTAAGATTTGCTAAATTCAATGTTAAACCAAGGCAAAAATAGTATTGCTAAATTGAAGGATGAGAAACTTAGCCATCCATCAATTATTATACATCATTCAAAACCATGGATCCCTACCTTTTGATAAGGCATAGAGCATATCTAGCACTAGCAGCCTGCAGAATATAAAAATGAGAGGCTATTCTTATTCTCTTTTCCTCTTCTGTTTCAATATTGAAATAGTTTTAATAGCTAATAGGTTGTGAATCACTCATGCTAAGAAGCCAAATTTTTACTCAAAGTAGCTTGAAATTATAGTTCCAAGTAATATAAAGTAACATATAAATTTAGCTCCAAACATTCATGCCATATCAGAAGTTAAAATTGCATCAGAAATGAAGCCAGGGAAGAACTTAGGTTGTAAGCAGAACAATGTTATTTTTAACATCTGATCCCTGATGACCAGCCAAAAATTAGTCCTTTGATAGTCCACTGTGCATGTGTTCAGGACATGTAAAATAGTTACATGTGTCAGCCTCATACTTGTACCAGAGACCCTGTTTTTGTCTGCCCTTGTAGAGTGCCTAGACAGCAGGGTGTTGGTCCATGTCTAGAAGTCCAAGCTCTAGTCATACAAAATAAACAACAAATAACAGTAATTAGTCCAAAATAATTTCATTCTATGCCAATTTAAAAACATATATAATATCTCCCTTTGGAAGAGAGATACTATACTGCCTCTCCCCGTCCCAAAATCTTGTTGCGTGGTGGTAATTATATGTTTGAAATATAATAGAGAGATAGCAGGCAAGAAAATATGGACACAAAAATCTAGTGCTACTTCAGTTACCCTTACTGACTCCCTTTCTGGAATCCTAGATTGCTGTTCTTCTTACAAGAAAGTTATGATTTTATTTGCAGCTATGAGCAGAAATCATGCTTTCTTTGTTCCTGCTTTTAACATTGAGGAAGATGGACTATTTTCTGTAGGCCTCAATTCACTGAAGACATAGACATGTATTTAGTTGCTTTGCAGAACACAGAACAATTTAAACAAATGGTTATGTTAAGTGTTTTGCTGAATCCAGGTCATACCTTCTGTATTTTTAGCCATCAGAACATGTACTGTTTATGCTCTTTAAAGGCTAATCTGCAACCAAGATTTCAAACGGACTTTGTGACTTATCAAATGTATGATTTCATAATGAATTATAATGTCAACAGTCAACCAAACAACTGACTGATTTTTTTTCTGTGTGTTTCCTGTTTCCTCTATTTATATCTTTATATGCATATAGTTTTATTCAGGTGAAGGGGCTGAATCTATAGCTTTATAACTACTTTTTATAAACAGAATAATAGTTAATTCAACATTTTAGTACCAGTATGCATTTTTATGTAGAGTGTTCAAAGAAAGTACTCTATATTATTTCTCACATAAAAAACTCAGCTATTTATGGCCTCTATTATTTTACAAAAGGGAAATGAGTCATTTGGAAAAGAATAGGAACATTTAGTATAAATTCCTAAACCTTTAGTATTAACACTGTGGCCACGTCCACAGGAGCATGGACGTTTGGTTTCCCAGAGACAACTAGTAGTGGCACACCTTGTATCACCGGTAGTAGTCCCCAGGGAACATCTGTGTCATGCACCCTCTGGTGCATGGCAGGTTCCCTCAGGTGGGGTAGGGGAGGCAGCCTTACCTGGGGCTTTGGGGGCCTCCTGCGGCTGCGGCAATGGTGCTCCTGCCAGCCGCCCAGGCTCTGGTTTTGAGTGGTGTGCGCAGCCCCTGTATGCACCACTCAGCTTTTTTTTTGCATAGGATTTTTGATCCCTGGCTATCCCCCTTGCAGCACGGAGAACAGCTGAATGTGTGGTATGTGCTTATCTGAATGGAGCCTGTGGGTGCATCTACGCATGCAGTTCGCACGTAACAATAAATTCAGGCATGATTCGCACCAGGGTTTTTCTCTCAGGCTCAGCGTTTACATGTGCAGCTGGGACCAGAGAGCACTGAGCTGGGGCAGAACAGACCCAGGCTAGCAGAGAGCCTGGCGGGTCAGCCTGCCAGTCTGGGGCTGCTCCACCCAAGCTCAAGGCTAGCCCCGCACCGTTGCACTCTTATGTCCCATGGAGCCCTGGTCACCATCTATACATGTGTTTCAGCGCATGTAACTACTCTGCTACAGCATAGTACTTTTCCCAGACAGTACTATCCTACAGATGAGTTAATTGATTTACTGTGCCTAATTACAGATACTCATGTAGATGGTAATGCTTTACTGAGGAGCTAATTAGATGTGTAGATGCACCCTGTATTTCTTTACTTTGTCCTTTGCTTTCAGCTGTGATCTCCCTTTCCATAAATACCTGGTGGTATGCTGTTAAAATGTCAAAGTGAATTTGCTGGCTCAGCTATTTTATAATAACCCAGATGTTTCTCTCATTTTTTTCCTTTCAAAACACTTAGTGTCTATCAAGTAGTGGTTGAAGAAGAGCGCCCTCGAAGGACAAAGAAGACCACAGAAATCCTGAAATGCTACCCAGTACCCATTCATTTCCAGAATGCTTCACTTCTGAACTCTCAGTACTACTTCGCTGCAGAATTTCCAGCCAACAGTCTTCAAGCTGCTCAGCCTTTTACTATTGGTGATAACAAAACCTACAGTGGTTTCTGGAACACTCCTCTTCTCCCTCATAAAAGCTACAGCATTTATTTCCAAGCTGCTAGCAGAGCCAATGGGGTAAGTCTTATGACAGGTGTCGTTTTACGTGATATTCGTATGTAAGTAGATCAGTGGTACTGGATAACATGATGTCCAATTTAGTTGCTAATGAGAAAATGAAGAAACCATGAAATTTAAGAGGTTGAGGTTTAAAAATAACAGTTTTCCTAACACAGCATTGCATAATGATTAAGGGTTACAGAAAAAGGGAGGGAGGGAAAATAGCACTTGTTTCTCAATGGTGACCAAGTCTGACAACACATCGCTGCCAGCATTATTGCCATTCTGCTTTATTTTTGTTCCTCAGTAATCCCTCTGAGAACCCTGAGATTCTGTCTGACTGCTCCTTTCCCTGTCTGCTTTTTAAGAGGAAAATGGTGTGGCTACTTTGGTTAAGCTGAAGCCAGACTTGATTTTGGCTTTATAGTATCTTTCTTCTTGGCCTGTCTAATCTTGTTACACTGCTTTGCAACAGCTTAAACTCCCATTTTCACATTCGTTTGTCTTGACTGAATTAGAACCATCCTGTGTCCTCCCCACTCCCCAAACAGTACAAGAAAAATAAGTAGATACAACTGAAATGAAAAGTGTGTAAAAAGGTCCTTGCAGATCACGTTTCATCTGGCTGATTCTTCCTAGAATTGTTTTCCATTTCCTGGGCAGACCTACTCAGAGCCCTTCAATTCCTGATAAGGTTTGGCTGGCTCCATTGACAGCTTGGAAATGTTTTCTGCCAGATACCATAATGGCTCCTCTTTCACAGTGCACTGACAGTGCAGAAACGTGAAACACCATTGATTTTTTTCGCCCCCCCTTCTTTCTTAAATTGTCTAGCCTGGTGCTTACTGTACTTACATATCTGTAACAAAAAGAAAAATCTGCCAAGGTCAGTGAGCTGCCAAAGAAAAAAACACACGCATCATTTCTTATACAGTTATTTCAACATATAAAGGAATGTTAAGTGAAGTATTTATGTTATGTGACCAAGTTTATTAGAGTTCAGTTAGCCACAGTATCAGACTGCATTGCAGTTGTTTAGGAAACTGTTAAATCTCTAATTAAACATACCAAATGGACATTTTCTTCAGATGTTATCATTACTTTAAAAAATAGAACCACAGATGATCTTCTTTGTTTAGAAATACAAGAAATGACCTTTTGCCTCTTTCTTTAACACAGGAAACCAAAATTGACTGTGTCAGAGTGGCCACAAAAGGTATGTTCATATAACGTCATGTTTTCCAGATTTCACTCTGTTGACCTTTTTTCATACATTTTTTTTTTTTACAAACTTCCAGAAATGTTTATCTTGCTAAAAAGACACCTCTAAATCTGTAACAGTATTTTAAATGAATCATTTGCATATCTAGCTGAAATTAAGGAGCCTGTTTTTAAAAAAGAAGAAAAAAAGAAAAAACATCAATTTATTATTTAATTTTGATTATCAACTTGAATACTTTTTTATGTATTCTGTGGCTTTTTATATGATCTCACAATAAATATTTTTGACATTTTTACATATAATAGGCATATAAAAGTGCCAGTAGCGAAATACCTACTACCTGCTTGTACATGGGTAATGAAAAATTATTCTTAACATATAAGGGATTATCTTATTTTAATTGCCTTGTAAACTATAAATAGGGGAGGCAAGCTTCTTGCATTGATTGAGGTAGGCCAATTCTGTATCGAAGGGCATTGTACTACCATGCAAGAGGCACAAATTTGTAAAGAGGTAGCTGTAAACCTGATCCCCAGGTAGAAAAAAGATCAGGCATATTGCTGAGGTGATATGCTTTATCTTTAGATAGGAATTGCTTTTCTGTAGCCCCATTTCTTTAGCCTGTCTCCTTGAAGACAGGAAGGAGGCCTGACAGAATGTGTTGCAATAGCTAATATTATTTAGCAATTGAAGGACAGCAAGAAGGGTAACATTGGTTGTGGTAGGAACAGTACTTCTGTTTTGGGTGCCTTATGAGACCCTGCAAGAAAAACTAATTCTGTTGTTTAGGGCTCAGATGGATCATATATCAAGTGACTGAACATAACCTGATGTGGCTTAGTCAAATGAAACATACTGATCCCAGTGCAGAGCCAATATGTATAGATTTCACTTTTTAGCAGCAAGTACTACAGGCATCTATTTTTATGATATCTAGATGAGATGGCTGAGAATCTTATTATTTCAAAGTAAATGAAAGCTAGGGCTTGGCTCCTTTTATTCATGTCTAGAAATTTAAAATGAGGATGGGCTGCTCCTAGCCCTTAACTGTGACACACAGATTTTTTGTGACTCCTTGGAGCTAGTTTCTAACTCTCTAGAAATGAGGACAGTGTCCCTATATCCAACTTGTTAAACTATTGCTCACTAAATAATAGCAAATTTGCAGTGCTTTCACAATAGGGCAGTGAAATTGAGGAGAAGAGACTAATTTAATTCAAAGCAAAATACTACATCATTCTCAAGGGGCATAAATGAGTCCAGCAACTGATTAATTTACCCCACAAATTATGATAAATGATTAGATGAATGTGTTTTCATTATTTAACCAGTTTTTAAATTATTTGGAGATTTGTGTGCTTAATCACTAATGGATATTCAACCACTTGGATCTCTCGATTGACTCGATATTCTTCACCCTCTTATTTTGAGAAGAGAGGGTTACATAGCTTCCATAGCAACAGGCCATTTCAAGGTAACTTGCTTGATGAAGTGGGTGTTGGAAATGTAGCTTGTGTTTTAAACTGTTAATTTCAGTACACCTCATGTTTTAAAAGCATATTTGTGAGAAATTTATGTAGGGTTGGGTATTTGACCAGTCAAATAAAATTCACTCAATTGACCAGTCAAATATTGGTAAAAATGATTTTAGAAATTGCCAACAGGTCCAAATAATACACAGAAAAAGAAAGCACAAATTTTCCATTAAGAAATATGTCAAAAAACAATTTTAAAATCATATTTCTGTCAAGAAAACTACAAAAAATGTAGTTTTCTTGTAAAATTGCTATAATCTTTGACCAGTCAAAAATATGCAGTCAGTTGACCAGCTTGCCAACTCTTATTTTATGTCTTTGTCAAACTTGTGACATCATAAGAGAGCCTCTTGCGAGGACTCGGAAACGAGTTCCCCTAGTTGTGCTTTGGAATCCTAAAGTTGCAGAACTTTATCAAGTGCTTCCATAAAGCGTCGGGTACTATGTAAATGCACTTCCAAGACACAGCAGAGGCAAACTGCTTTTACTAATAGTTCGAAATGAATTGGAGACTATAATATATTTTAACTTGTAGGGGATTGTGCCTGGACTTAGTAAAATTGTATGAGGAGGACTGCCCTTGACTCTCTACACAAAGGCTTAGGAGAACAGCAGGAGCTGTTAACCTTCTTGCAACACAGGTCATCTCAGCTGCACTGGGGAGAGAAAGCATAGCCCCACATCGGTGCCACTCCTTTTGGTCTGATGAGCTGATTGAACAACCATTGGACAGCAAGCTAAACCATCCAACAAATAATGCAGCCTGCACATTCACCCTGAAGGCCTCTCTGAGGAACAAAGACTGCTCAAACCAAAGAGTTGATTTCTGTCAAAGCTCTCCCTGGGGTAGTACAAATTCCTACTGTGAGGAATTACACAGCCTAACCCTTACTGCTGTGATTATTTTTATAGATGAAGATATTAGACGATAACCTGTCAGGGGTCTATTGAGTATTCATTGTGTCAAAATGTGTGTTACAATGGAAACCTGTGCTTCCTTATAGAAAAGGTTGCAAAATAGTCATCATTAAAATGTCTGGTTTTAACATAGTCATAGCTTTCTGAAGCATTTTTATTGGGACTCAAGTCATCCCTGAAGACTGAAGTTTAAAGATTTTAAAGTTTCAAGGAAAACATCTTTGGCTATTCATCATGAATAAAGTTGGCACAATCAGATTCTAAATGAAGGCCTTATACTGTAGCCACTGTCCTAACTAGTCCCATCAATGTTAATGAAACCACTTAGAGTTATATACCTATGTAGGATGCCATATGGATTAAGGCCCTGATCCTGAAGACACTTAAATATATAAATAATTTCATTGACTGAACCACTTTTTCATCCATAAGCTGCATCCTATGAAATAAAAGAACCTGGCCTTCCAGCCTATCTGATGTTTTGTTATTAAATTCCCTGGATTTAGAAAGTTTCTGCAGCTCTAGTCCTGTGGATTTTAAAATGAGTTCAAAGAACATGTTAACACCATTCCCACCCAGGTCCAGATTGCCCCTAGGTGACTCCGGCTGCTTAGCTGAGCCAGTTGGCTTTGACAAAGCCACCTGGTTGTCTATAATGAGGAAGTGCCATCAGCAGGGTTAGAAGTCTGTACTGAGGATCAAAAGAGGGTCTCCAAGACCTGACCCGAGCATCGAATATATAGCCCATTAGTTGTCCCCCCCCCAATTATTTCAACACTAGATTACCCAGAAGGTTTTGTGCAGTTCCTGAGACCTTATTCAGGATCTATTGTAACAATGGGTTTTGTCATAGTTTTATCCATGGCATGTTGTATGCCTTTCTCATTTTTTTTTACATGTTGTGGGCTCAATCCTGCAAAATTCAGAGCACTCTTGCCCTGGATTCAAAAAAGCACTTCAGCAGGAGATTAACTATAGGTAAGCATGTACAGGGGCATGTGTAGTTGCAACTGAAGTTGATGGGATAAAAACGTGCTTAGTATTAAGTAAGGCTGTGCGAAGCTTTGGTCACTGATTCAATTTGGTGGATATTTGCCCCTATTCAGTGGCTGAATCTCTGAAACCGAATCATATCAGGAGACCCTTTAAGCTCTCCAAATAGATTTGGAGAGATTCGGAAAGATTCAATGATTTGGACATAGACACAGATGTAAATGATTTTTCTACATACCTCAAGGTATCAGGCAGCTCATGAATGCTGAGATGGTGGGGCAGAGGGAGCGTCCCATGGGGGGATTCCCAGCACACTCAGCAGCAGACCCAAAAGTGGACCAAAACCACTTTCAGTCCATTTCTGAGTCCTCCAGGGAACAGGGCCCCTGTGCCCTGGCTCGGTGACTGGTGCCTCCTGGGTCTGGGGGTGCTCCCAGGGTCCCTCTGTGGATGATCACTGAGCTGGGGGGCATGTAGAGGGGCCCCCCTGCACACTCAGTGGTGGGCCCGGAAGTGAAATGGAATTATTTCATAGATTTCATAGACATTAGGGCTGGAAGGGACCTTGGAAGATCATCAAGTCCAGCCCCCCGCCCAAAGGGCAGGAGGTCAGCTGCGGTCATAGGATCCCAGCAAGATAAGCATCCAGTTTGCTCTTGAAGGTGTTCAATGGAGATGCTTGAACCACCTCCAATGGCAGGCTGTTCCAGACCTTGGGGGCTCGGACAGTAAAGAAATTCTTCTTTATGTCCAGCCTGAAATGGTCTTGTAGTAGTTTATGACCGTTTGACCTCGTCATCCCTTGGGGAACTCTGGTGAACAAACGTTCCCCCAGATCCTGGTGGTCACCCCTGATAAACTTATAGGTGGCCATCAGTTCACCCCTGAGCCTGCGCTTTTCCAGGCTAAAGAGCCCCATGGCTCTCAGCCTGTTATCGTAAGGTCTGCTTTCCTGACCTCTGATCATGCGCATGCCTCTTAATTCCAGTCCACTTCTAGGTTCGCCACTGAGCAGGCAGAGAGCCCCCCACCATGTTTCTGTGGGATGCTCCATCCACCCCACCATCACAGTGTTCACGAGCCATGCCTGGTGCCTTGACGTATATAAAAAAAACATTTAAAGTTGTGTCTATGGCCAAATCGCTGCTTCTCTGAATCGGCATCAAATCTTCAGATTTGTATTTGGCTGTATTGAATCAGGACAGTGATCTGAATCAACTAATTGAATCACTGTCCCTGATTCAGGCTGAATCCAAATCCAAATTAAATATGGCTCATTTCGCACACCCCTAGTAACAAGTATGTGTTCAGTAGCTTTGCTTGATCAGAACCAAAGTGCTCTGTGTCTCGCATAGTTTGGTATCCTAAAGTTTACAGGCTTTCTGTTACAAAATATATCCCTAGCCTTGGTATACCCAAGTGCATCCAAATGCAGGTTATTTTATTTAAAGTACATTTTAAAAAAAATTCTCAATTCATAACAGTTTCGGAATATTACTAGTGTGTTCCAGCTGCCGACCTCAAAACTAAAGCTATTATTAAACGTGAATATTAAAGTGTTACTTTTAATTACCAAATACTCAAATCAAGAGCAAGATCTTATAAAAGGGGATAAGGCAAAATGTGTTTATTGATTACATGAAGCAGATACATAAGCTTGGGCACACCAGTCATGCAAACAGAAACACACAAGTATACAGACACACAGACAAAACCACTCCAGTAAGATGTTATAGATACCAGCAGATGTTGCTCAATGTTAGCACTGGGTAGCCAGCCCAGGTTCATTGAGGGTGATGGGAGTGGGGGTGAACAGATGTGCCTGTGCTCCAGGAGATTGCAGAGAGTGGATTCCCCATCTCAGCATTGTTGAATCCCACTTTTATAGGGATTTTTAAGTCTGTGTTCAGCACTGAGGTTTTTCCATTCTCAGTTCTCATCTAGATGTTGTTTCTCATCTGTCTTCTTGTTATCTCAACTTGAGGTCATTCCAGTAAAGTTGGTATCTCAGAATTGATATCTCAACCTTGAAGCATTGTGTAGATCAAATGGGAGGATATGCAGAATTCCTTCTTCTCACTATCTTCTTTTGCACCTGATCACAGATGAGTTCTTTAGTCATCAGTTAACTAGTCTAATTAGGTTACTGTCTGGTAACTCGTACATTGGCACCTTGTTGCTTACACAAACAGTTCAATCTTCTTATACTTTCATGCAAAAATTCCCATTCTTTCACCATTTGCCCTCTCACACACTCTTACGTACACAAGGCATACAAAGTTCATTTACTGATGTCAAGCTAGAGATACAAACTTCAAGAAAATATAGAAAAATAAAATCAATAGGTAACAAAAATGTTAATACTAATGTTACTACTAAACACAATCTATTTTAATGCGTAAACAAATTAAGCTAACATGTTTTGGCCTTGTGTTTCATATTGCTATAATTACCTACATAAAAGAAATCATTTATCCAATGATGCACTACAAGAGATCATATAAAAATCCTAATAATTATTATAATGTAATTTTGCATATTTGAAGGGCTCAGTCCTGCTCCTGTTGGGTGCATCTAATAGGCACTTTACTGCGGAGTTAACTAATTAGCTCTGGAGTAAAGTGTCACTGTCTACACATGCACTGGTATTATGGTGCAGTAAATTAATTAACTCTACCATAAGATAATACTGTCAGGGACAGTACTGTCTTACAGCAAAGTAAGTAACTGCACTGAAATGCGCATGTAGATGGTGACCGGCTGACTGGGGCACAAGGGTGCTAAAGTGCTGGGCTGCTTGCTGCCTCGTCACATGGCTGTTTAGGTTCTGCACCCTTGTTCCCCAGCCAGTCCCAATACCGCCACTACCACCTAGAGTTTAGGGCTGACCCCCCCCCGTGTTCCCTGCCAGCCCAGAGCTGGTCTTCCCCAGCTCAAACTGATGCAGTCCTGAGCACATGTGTAGATGCTGGACCCAGGAACAGTTAACTCCAGGGTGAATATTCTGGAGTTTATTGTGTCACATTAATTTCACATGTTGATGCACTCCTTGAAGTAAAGGAAGTCTTTCCATTGCCTCCTTGGGGAGAAGGATCATTTCCTTTATACTTCTAATATCTGTATGATGTGGAGTGTTCTGATGTTTTAGAGTAAGCTTCTTTTACTTTTGTGAGTGTTCAGTGTGCATACAAATGTATGGAGAAAGGGTGTCCTGCTATTTGTGACAAAATAGTTTAAAAAAAAAATCAACCCACAGTTTCATGAAGTTAACAATGGTTTTCATATTTTGCTTGACATGTAGCCTTCATATTTCTGCTCTTTCTCTAAGCTAAGTGATGGAAAAATCTCTGAAGATAAGGTTGAAAAACAAAAAATTGCTAAGTTATACCTCTATAAATTTAGTAATGATTCTTGATTCTTGATTTATATTAAGAACATATTTCGTGATATGACTTATTACTGTCTGGATAGAACCCATCTTGGCATCTCTAAGGACACCAGTTCTCAAGCAAGAGATGTTATTATTCTAGCCATACAACATTAGGAGGCTTTCATTAATTATGAGAAAGAAAGGGATATTATAACATTTTAAATCCAATAGCAACAGTACTCTAGCAGCTACTAACAACACTGTTTCACTGTTGCAGAGGGATATTTCAAAATATTATGCAGCAGCGGTTTTGAGTTTAATTGTCTGCAGATGGTAGATGATCTATTTTCCTCACTCATTGCCACATTTCTAATAGCACCCAGGCTGTTCTATGTAAATTAGTGATCTTTCATATAATCCTGTCCTTAATTTTCCAATATTTTTCTTTGCATCATTTTACAGCTGCATCATGTTGGATCTGACCTTTTAATTTTTTATATTTTTGATATGTATGTACCATAGTGCATTTAACCATTTAAAGGCAGTCATAAAGCTGCTGGCAGACAAAGAAACATGAGATTTCATTAACATGAACCACAGTAACACTTACCTTTAACAGTCAACAGTTGGTACAGCCCAACAAAAAACAGCCAAGAGACAACAAGCATATAGCCAGTTCTGTTTTTTGCTTTTCTGTGTCTTAGTGGGAAAATATAAACCTATTTAAAACCAATCTGGCAGAGAGTTGGGGATGTGTTTAACTGGTAGCATGAGAAAAGATATACATACTCAGTTAAGCATTTGCATAGTGTTTGTCTGGGAAAAATTAGGATGTCAATAGAGAAGGTTCAAGTAAAAATATACATGAAGGGTGGCGGAAGAATATTCTACATGAAAATGGTATTTTAAATAAATGTAGGGAAAATATACTGTGAAAATTTAAGTACCAATAAATAAATAAAATGCTTTGCAGGATTAATTTTATAGAAATCTGAACAAGCATTAAATTTTCTAGTTAAACAGAAAAGTTGTAGCCAGTAGAGCTTAGCCTCAGTCTCTTGTAACTTCAGATTCATTATTTTTAAGTAATGCACTTTGATTCCTTTTTCTGAATTAATATATAAAAGTCCACTAATATCAGAGTGACCAAACTAACAAACTAAAACAGCTAGAGATGAAAAAAGGAACCTGTGTTTTTTTTCTTTGTTTCTTTTGTTTTGGGTTTTTGTTTGTTTATAAGAAGTTGAGACAATTAATATTGAACAAGATTCTTCTTGCTGGCCTAGCTTCAGTCTGGCTTTTTTTTCCTCATGCATGCTGACCTGGAAATCTTCCTTTGCCTTAGCTGCGATAATCGTGACTCAGCTTACAACACCATACATTCGCATCGCCCCTGCTGCAGGCGACGACCAACTAACAGGTCAGACATTCAAGTACAGAAAAATCATCTTGCCCATCTGTCTCATTTCTTTTGGCTAATTTTCCCTTTATAGTCTCTTCATTCTGTACTTATTGATGATTTTCCACATTTAAGATTTTTTTTTTGTTCGGCTTCCAAAGTTATTAAATTAAGTTGTGTGCTTGGCGTCAAAACTTACACAGTCATATCCATGAATGTAAAATAAATCCACTGCATGTTTCCATTGTGTGTGTGATCTATGGAATGTTCCTTCAAGCCTAATGTTGTAAAGAAATGTAGCTGTTTTGGCCTTGCTGCGGCTGTAACATCTGCCAGGGTTCTAAGTGTATAACTATATAGATATATATCTATATATCTACAGATATATAGATTGTGTGTGAATCTATTTCTTTTTTCCTAAATTATTGGATTGAAGTATAGTGGTTATCTAGTTAATTGATTTGGGGGTCAGTGAGAGATGCTCTTACAAATTAGGAAAACAAACTAGTGTTACAAAAAAATATTTTAGACTTGGGGCTAGTAATACCTAACAGTATTTCAATGTGCATAAAATTAAAGATAAAATAGAAAGACTGGTAATTGCATCATTTTTGGAAACTAGATATAAAACAAAAAAGTCTCTGAAGTGACATACTGACAAATAAAAACACACAAGGCTGTAAGTTTTCTAAAGGTAAATCACAAAATAAATTCAACACAAGTGAGATCGTTATTAGGCTCTGGGTTGCTCAAAGGCGAGCTCAGAGTGTAGCAGAAAATCTTTATGAGCATGAGGAAATGATTCATTTTGTCATAAAATGAACATGTTCATAAAGCTTTTGAGGGATTTGGAACCCGTTGTATTCTCGAACAGAAGAAAAATGCATTAAATTCTTCAGAATCCAAGGTGAGTTTGTTGGAATATGAAGTAGAGGAAGTTAAATCTAGTCCATCAGTGTCCAGTGGGGTGATAAACCCATAGGCACCTCCAAAATTACCAGCATAATTACTTGGGAAGGATCCAAATGTTATTGTTGCAAAAAATAAAGTTCAAATGCTTGGCATCTGGATGCCGTTACTGTCTACCAGAGAGACAACTGAGTGATTCAATATAAAGTAGAAGGACAAATGACACCACGGTTGTAATGCCAGGACAATTTTTTTAGTGAGAAACTGCAGACTTTTCACTAACAACTAAACTCTTTTACTGACATACATTTTACATAATGTAAATACAACACTATTGCCATGCTGTAAACAAGGGCAGGTTCAAATTTAGGGTTTAAGACCAACCTTAGTAAAATATTATGCAGCAGTAATTTTGAATTTAATTTTCTGCAGATGGTAGATAACCTGTTTTCCTTACATGTTGCCACATTTCTAATAGCACCCAGGCTATTCTAATAGCACCCATCACTGCAGCCCTACCTCTGCTGGCCCTGTCTTCCTGTCCCCACATACCCATAACAGAAGACTACTGTTTGTCTACCAGAAGCAGTGTTATAGCAGGGACACAGCAAAAGCACATGGTTGGTGGAGGAGGGTCTACAGCAATAATCATCAGCCAGGGTTATGGTGGCACCAGGAGGTGCCTTGAGATCCTTTTGAAGGTATTGCAGGATACAACACAATGCTAGCACTTTTAGGTATCTTACCATAATTTACAAGATAAATCTAGTGAATTCAAATAGCAATCCATAGTTTTAAAACATTCTGACCTGTTGGAATCTTTCTGAGCTCATCGCAACATAAAAAAACCCTTCTAATATTTCAGTAGTCAAAAAAATGAGTGAAAACTATGAGGTGGCATTTCTCTTTGAGTCTAAGGAGGGGGTGACTTGAGTCAAACCATATTGAGAACCACTGGTCTATGGGCTACAAAGCCCTGAGAAAATGTTTCTTATAGGGTGTTCCACTCCCATGTAGACACCAGATGGTGCTGTTCAGCTCTGTCTGTATTTCAGGCTTGTCCCAATGAGGGATCTTTGATCAAGCTCCAGTCACTTAGTGTTTTTATGGATGGCTCATGGTTTTTTTCCAGACTTTATGGACAGGCATTTTTAGAATTGTTTTTTATAGTCTGTCCATAATGGACTGTTGGCAATGCTGAATAACATCTCCACCATAGTTTACCAACTAGGGATACTTTTTTAAATAAAAGAAGCTAGTGACATATAAAACAGAAGTCTTTACTTAAATTAAGAGAACTGTGAAATGTATCTTTGTATTATTTAATAAAATGTTAGCTGATTATCATGTTATAGGATCTGTTAAGGATAATGGAAATAATGTAGTTAGGTGAAGTAGCTGTTGAGGAAATGCAAGTTTTTTACTATTCTGGACCTTTCTAAAGGATGGTCAGCATGTATTTTTACAACTCAAATGTTCTGCTTTTTCTTTTTCCTTTTTTTTAAATCCTGGAGAATAAAAGGAAAGCTTTTGAAGAGACAAGGAATGTCTCTTCCATTTTCTTAAAGTTCTTAAAGTTGTGATTTCTTTGGCATAGGATTCAAATAATATATGAAAACTTCCCCTACTTTGAGAATTAAAAATGTTTATCAGCTTTTTAAAGAAAAAGATGGTATATACCAGAACCTAAAGTGATATGCAGTAATAAATGATAATAGTGAACAGCTATAGTGCAGTGGGTATAACATTATGTAACAATTTTTTTTTTCTCACTTGATGCTGGATACTGGTTTCTCACTGGATGATTTGTGGCAACAAAATGTTTACTCAAACCATCTTTGGAATTTGTCATAAATCTGCTGTTTTTCAGATCTCTGGCTTCTGTTTCCTTTTATTTCTCAGAAATAATCTCTGCAGTGGGAGCAAAGAAATGAAATGATACCAGCATTGACAAATATTTTTCATAAAGTAATATCTGAAAATTGAATATTTTCTGATATTGTGCTGCAGACCCGGTCCTTCCCAAGTTTCCTTTTAATTTCTGTGATCACCCATCCTGTTAGAAATTTGAAAGTGGGAGATGGAGAGACCAAAGGAGAAGCATCTATTAGGTTCTCTTGAGTAAATTAATTTCCAGTTGTTCTGGTGTGAGGAATAATGAGGGAGTAATAAACCCTTTGGCCCAGCTATAAACCCATTCTTTGGGCTCAACGAAGACACTACTGTGACTCTAACAAAACAAATTTGTCATGCTTCCTGCCTCCAGATGAATTGTGGCCCTCAATATAAAAAGGATTCTCATTACTGCAGGAAGTGGGACCATGTTTAATTTCCTCACTCAGACCTGCATACTCCCTTATACAAGTGCTGCCCAACCTTTTGCCCCTGTGAGCCAGCTGAATGGTCCAGGTCCATGGGCCTAATCTGGTGTCCAGCCCTGGTCCTGCACACTGTATCACTCCCGTGGCCTCAGCCCTGTGAGCTGGTTCAGACTCAGAACCCATGGAAGTCTAGATGGAAGTCCTGGCCCTCTATAGCAGATCATGCCAAGCCTTATGTGCCACGCATGCAGACATGCAAACAGACATACACAAGCTCCCCACAGCTCTCCCAGCACCCCCATGTGGCCTGAAGCAGCATGCAGGAACACAGTGTAGCACCAGCCTGGCCTGGCCATATGCCAAGGACTCGGGGTTGAGGAGTGGGTGCAGGGAGAAGGGAACCAAGAATTATAGGTTATTTGGGCCTAGCTGGGCTGGTGCCATGCTGTGTTCCCCCCTTCTCCCCACACCTCCTCTGCTGACCTGAGTCCCCAGCACGCAGCTGGGCCTGTCTGGTGCCATGCCATGTTCTTACATGCTGCTTCTGGCCATGTGGGTGCAGCTGAAGTGGCTGGCATGGCTCCTACCTGATTTGGCCACATACTGGGGACTTGGGGTCAGGTAAGAGTCATGCTGGGGTAGGAGTGGCATAATTGGAAGCAGTGCGCAGAAACACGGCATTACACTGTTAGCAGTACCTGTACCCCTACCAGGCCTCAGTTCAGCTCAGGCTGGTAGAGCCTGGATAACCTGCAGCTCTCATCCCTGTTTCCCTTGTACTCCCTTCACCACTAGTGGGGAGACCCATACCTGAGCTTTAACTTCTACTGGGGTCTGGGCTGTCTGGTCTGAGAATGGCTGCAATGCCAGAGGTGTGGACAACCTAGCTGGGCAGAAGCCTGGCCAGAAGCTCAGCACCCCCTGCTTTGGAGCATACACAGGGGGCTGAGGGGCAGGGCAGGCCAGTCTAGGCCAGGGAGGGGAGTGGCTGCCTGGCCACTGTAGCCAGAGCTGCTGCTGCTGCTGCTGCCGCTGCAGCTGGCTACAGCCTAGGGAAGGTAGAAGAGCAAGAGGCACCAAAAGCCAGGGCAGCAGTGGGTCAGATACAGTTCTCCAGAGGAGCAGCTTCAGGCCAAAGAGAATCATTTGTTGAGCTAGATCCAGTCCACAGGCTGTATTTTGCCCACTTCTGCCCTAGCTCCACATGCCAGATCACACCCCAGCCTTGCATATCAATGTCTTCTGGTCTCAGCCCTGTGCACCTGATGTTGCCCAGCCCTGGCTCTGGCCCCATGCACCATATTATGTCCACATTCCTACACCTGCATGCAGGGCCATGTCACCTGGTCTGCAGGCAGGGTTGTCCCTGGGCAGGGGGTGAATTGGGGTGACTGCCCCAGGCCCTGTGCTCTGGGAGGCTCTGCAGAGCCGATGGTGATGGCAGCATCTTTAGGTCCAGGATCGGAGTGGGGGCAGAGCCCTGCATGGGCTGATTTGCCCCAGGCCCCACACCCTGCTTGGGTTGCCTCTGCCTGCAGCAGAAAAGCAGTGGCCACCACTTATCTGCCACCAAATTTCCAAACCAGAGGGGAGCCCAATCCTACCCAAAAGTTATTTTTGTTTCTTTCAGCATTTTAGCATTTGAGGGAAGAAATTTCTATTTGGTTTCTAAATGGAGGGTCCAGAGAAATGCTTCACCCATAGCTAAAATGTAAAATGTGTCTGCATTCCTAAACACTGGCAGTGTTTTCTGTTGTTCTTCATCTAAACCCACCCTATTCCTGATATCCC